ACATGCATATATCTAGCCAGTTTGTATCATGTTATAGTTAGGAATAAATACGCAATAAATGGAAGGGTATATGTCACTATGTGAACAGAAAGCTGATCTGTCCCTTATAGATATGAATATACTAAGTCATTGTTTGTGCTATTTTCAGTTCAATTCAATTGTGTTGAGTGATAATGGCTTCAGCTCTGCTATTAGGACTTATACTAGTCTGTATTGGGTTGACAAGTAAGCCATTGATGCCATTTGAACATTTTCAGGTAACATTATATTGTGTAGGTGGTTACGTGAGTGATTTTCAATGTACTAATGGAAGTGTGTGTGCTGGAGGCAGAGTGGAGTGTAACTGTACAACTAGTAGTGGAGCAATAGACTGGACCATCAGTTATAGAGAATTAGGATCCAGTAATCAGAGCTGGATACATATTCCAACAGTACATTTGCATGCATATCTAATGTCTGATGAAAAACATGGATACAATTTTACTAAGTTAAATAAAAGTTCAATTCTCAGTTTTTATTTGAATGCATCTATTGTATGTCGAGATGGCAATGAAGTAGTCAATGAAACCAGAAACTCATCAATGATAATTTTTGACTCAGGTTAGGCATATAAGCACATATAGCACAATGATGACATCATTCCTTTGATGTGGTGGGTTCTATATTTTGTATATAGACCTACCATGCAGAAATGCTGTCATCATTATGCAATATATCATATATAGATAGTATACTAGAACAGTCTCATATACAGAATATAGGACCTTTAGCTTGTGTCTTTGGATGTGATATAGCCTTTGGGCCTGTGACTCTTGGGCTATATCACATCCTCGAACACAAACCTCAGGTCCTATATTCTGTATATGAGACCTACTAGTATATACTATATAATATACATATAGAGGCTAGTTGTTTTGAAAGTAAAAAAAAGAGTAAAAGAATATTTTACCTTTTTAATGTTTTGTATAATCAATAATAGGTTATTATGCAAAAGGACCAACAAACTTAACAACAACCTTCAATGCAAGTGGAGTTACTTTACAATGGGAGGACACTGAGAATAACTGTACTTCTACTGTGTACAATGTGACCATTTATGATGGCACATCAGCCAGTGTATTGACCTATTATATTAACAAAACAACCTTACTTATAAACTCAAATGAACTAAACACAACA